TCCACCAGTTCTTGGCCACCTCTTCTCTTTAGCGAATACTCCAACCTCTTAGCTCTCTTGACCGCAGCCTTGAAAGCCTTGTGGGGCCTTTGGGACGATCTCCATTCCAATGATGCCATCCTACCCTCATAGGTTTTGGACTCATAGACCTTAGTGGCATTAATCTCATCGGCGACATCAGCCATTTGTGACTTTACATGGTCACAATGAATAACCACTCGATGAGGATCTTCCACCATAACCTTATTGACTTGAGACGGGTCAGTCAACAAGCAATCCTTTTCATGATGGCAGTTAATCATCTTCCCGATAACGAAGCCGAAGTCTTCAAACTGATCTCTACCAATGAGAACCTTGTCCTTCTTGATAGTCTTTAGTATGATAAACCTTGCTTCTCTACCAGATTGAACATATTGGCCAACACCATCAACCGGCTTGGTCAATTGCTGAACCATACAATGCCATGCGTGCGTTATCACTTGCCTACTGCCATCAGCCATAGTACAAGTTAAGGGTTGAGGCAGTTTAGCAACACGTCCAGCCTTCTTCCTTACCATCTCCTCGACCGTGTGGTTGTCGATGATGCTCAAATTAGCACCCGTATCCAATAACCCACACATATCGACAGTTTCATAAGGATTCCCGCAGAAGACCTTGAATTTGGCATATATCATACCCTTTTTCAGATCCAGCCACGAGACGGCCTTAGTCTGGCATTCGTAGATCTCACCAATCTCAGCTTTCTCCATCTGTGTGTCACCAATCTCACACAGATTAGAGTTGGCAGAGACATCTGTAGCTTCCTTCTTCTGGTTGACAGTAGTTTCAAACTTCCCACTAGGCTGGGGAGGTTGACTGACACCAGAACTTGAAGGATCGGGATGATGTGACTTAGGTATAAAAGACCACTTCACTCGGCAGACGTCTGCTACATGACCACCAAGTAAACACCTTTGACAAACCAACTTAGATTTATCCTTCGTGCACTTGTTCGCCTGATGACTAGTGTCAGCACAGGTATAACAGCGACCACGAAAGATAGACAAATTCTCAGAAGTGCAGTTCTCAGCGGTGTGACCATTAGAGTTACAACGTCGACAACTACCAGAGCCCACAGAGCCACCAAAATTAGCCGTCGCTTCATTGGCCACGACATTCTTGGTAGCTTTCTTGGGCTTCTTTCCACGCTTGGAAGATTTGCCCTCCTGAACGGAAGGCGCTTCTTCCATAGCGTCCACCACAGTATCCACCGTCTTCAAGTCGTTGTGAGCATAGCCATCAACTTTCTCGGGGGCGTTCAACATCCTATACTGTTTAACAAACCTCTCATAACACTCACGATCCATGGCACTAGAGAAATACTCATTAACTCTCGTAACTAACTGATCATAAGTTAGGTTAGTAGGGAATTTCTCCCTTAGGAACTGAACGTCCACTTTAGGCAACGCACCACGAAGACGAGTCAACTTAGTACTATCAACCAGTTCTTGACCAGTCTCAATCTCGACACCAGTAAACAAGTTCTGGAGCTTGTACATAAATTGTGGTAGAGTCTCATTAGTGGACTTCTTCACATTCTGCATCTTATCACATTGAGTTTCAGGTGTAGACTCTGAACGAAACAACTCGTCCAGAATATTCCACATAGCCAGCAAGAGATCCACAGGGTTAGCGTCAAACCAAGAGTCAGTACCCAGTCTTCTCCTAATTCTCTGGCTAATAATAGGACTCACGCAATCAGTGAGATACAACAAATGAATCCTCGCAATTGTCAAAGAGGAGCGATTCAAATTGTCTACAATCTCACGTTGTACTTCATGCCAAGATCTCGAATCACTTGCACCCTGATAGGGCCCTCCTTGGAGCTTCTTGATCTGGCTCACCAGCTTCTCAGAGGCCTGAGTCACTCGGTGCTTAACAAACTCTAATTGAGCTTCATTAATAGCCAAATCATCAGAACCAATAGGTAA